ACACACACACACACACACACATACATATAATAAACACAGGAGATTTTAATCTGTAGTTTTGTCTTTCTGTTTTTCCTTCCAGGAGCCGTTGCCTCATCTCTTCAACCAGATGTTCTGTCGTCTGTATCTGTTAAGAGCATTGAGAGAGCTCTACCACAGTGCTCTGGACATCCTTAACCTTCCCCCCATCAGGCAACTATAGCCACGACATAGTTCACTCTTCCTGTGATCACTGTTATCCCCTCCTCTCCACCCATCTCACACGAACACACACTCACCTATGTTTAGTAGCTTCATCATGTGCACACTTTGTTTAGCAGTGAACAAATCGTGACCTTTCCCTCTTTTTGGCAGTGGTACAGTACAGTCTGAGGCTGTTGGTCAATTATGAGATATAGTTTTACCTGCCCACTGCTGTCAATCAGATGACTATAGCTGGACATACTGTAACTGTAAGAATATTTAAAGGACATCATCAGTATGGTTAGACATTTTGGGAAATTATCTGTTTCTCCCTTTCTGAGTCAGAGGAGAAGATTGAAACCAAATATGAAGCTACTGCAAGCAACCAGTTAGCTTAGCTTAGCATAAAGTAAAGTAGGAGGAAACCACAAACCTGGCTCTGTCCAAAAGGTAACTAAATTTACCTATTGGTTAATTAACGAGTTACAAAGTCAGTGGTCCTAGTCGCCCCTTTAAACACCCCTTTAAAATATTGCATTGTCGTTTGGTTTTTGTACGTATTCAATAAACAAAAGTCAATGTGCCGGTGAACTTCAGAGGTGCTGGTAGGCAGACTGAACTTTGGACAGAATGAGGTTCACTGTTTCCCCCTGCTTCCAGTCTTTAAGCTGCACTAAGCTAACTGGCTGCTCATATTTACTGTACATACATGACAGTGGTATCAATCTTACTCTCTAACTACCGCAAATAAGCATATTTCGCAAAATGTCAAACTATTGCTTTAAGTTTGGATTAGTTGCTAAATGCAATGTCCCTCCCATAATCATACTAGGCTTCAGAATTTTAACAGCCACATAAGGTCCAGTCTACAGTGTCCTTGTTACGGAGGATGGGATGCTTTGTCTGTTGAAGCCCTACATTGTAATTTTAAATTCTACTCTAATCATGTGACCATGCAGTACATTTATACACACACCTGAGACTTTTACTCTCATTTTGGTGCCAAAATCCCACCAGTAGACGCCCCATCTAAACTGTAATAAGACTTGTTACATGTTCTAATTTATTATTATCACAGTTGCCCCTTACTTAATGTCACCCGTCTTTGAAACACATAAAAGTGTCTTAGTCACTGCCTGAAGATTTTTTAACTTTAAGGTCACATTTTATGTGTTACCAACCTTGTATTTATCAATGCCACACAAATATTTATTGCTAGTTCAAAAAGAGATCTGTACAGAAAATATATTCTGCATATGAGTCTTAAATGCTGTGTTACTATTATTATTCAGAGCCCTCTGATTCATCACAGTCGTCCTGCTTGAAAAAATCCTAATGTTCAATCAATCAACAGATGTAACAGGTGTTAAGAAGTTATTAACAAAAACTGTTCATTAGCAGCATTTAGGGCATCGTGCCATAACGTTAGGAAATGCATGAAATGGCATGAAAATAATTTATATATATATATAAAGAGTTTTATGCCAAAAATTTTGTTTATAAATTTTGGTATGGGAAACATAATGACTTAAAATTGATCCTTCAGTATGTGAAATGTGTTGCCATATTAGTTCAGTACTGTCTCTTTAAAATGTGCCATAGCTTGTTTAAACTTTCTCCTTCACATTGTTTTGTAAGTTGGTGGGTTTTTTTTAATTTTTATGTGAATATCTCATGTTGGAACAAAACAGTTAATGTATCAAATATCTTACAGACTCACTTCTCACTGCATGAAATGTTTGACTGATTGTTTTTTATTAAATTTTATTTCCTGTAGAAAAGGGAATGGGATGTTTACAATAGGCTGATTTATTTACAGTGACTGTCTTGTTAACCACCGCTGTAATTACCACAGTATTAAAACCGAACAGATGCAGAATGAGGGACTTCCATTTTCTCCTTCCTTATACTGTCTCACTGTATCTGTACACAGCTGTGTATAATACATAATATAATACATACAGTATGTTCACTTTAGGCATTGCTGTTTCTCTTGCTGCAGTGTTTCCAACCCTTAGGCCTCAACATCTCGTACCTTCTTCTTTTAGCTCTCATTCTTTTCTCCCTAACTCCCATATCTCCAAGAGCCCTTATATCCCTTTATTCAGTACTGTATTATATAATCGCATACAGAGCTGCCCTCATTTTAGTGCATCTGGTGTGAGAAGTTCAAGTACTTCCCCACCTATTTTCTTCATGGAGATTTCTACAGCTACCTGTTGACTCAAACAGAGTCAAGGCAAGGGAACAGGAGCAAAAGCATGTTTAAAGGAATAATTAATAACTCATTCAATACAACATTGTGATGGATGACATACATTTTCTTTTTCTTGCTTTCAATAGTTAAAAAAATTACATTCCTATCCTGAAAAATCTATACATATATGCACATATATAAGTGTATTCACTCCATCTGAATGTCAAACTCTCTTACACACATCTGTCCGCCTACAGTTTCTGTTTCTTTCCTGTCTGCAGAATTAAAATAACCCTGACTGACTCTCACACTGTATGTTTGTCTCTGGCCTGAAGAAAGATGTATATACTGATACCATTATTCTATAGATAACTCCCCTCGTACTCCACTACCGCACACTGCCCTTAGGCCACACAGATCCAACAATAACCCACACTCTGCATGGATATACAGTATATGTTGTTAACAGTGATCCATCACTGTAGATACAACCCTGTTAATGTGATGCACCATTTGTCTTTACCCTTTGTCTCTGTTTACATCCCTTCCTCTGGCTTGGATTCCTAACTCGCTGTTTTCTTCCCTCCATTCTGCTGATCATCACTTTACTCTTTCGGACCTCATTTATAAAAAGGAAGACACTGATTAATGGATGATTACGTGCCAAAGATCTGCTTCTTGAAATTCTGAGTTGAATTCAAAATTAATTTTAAAAATGTTTAAGCTTAAAATGTTTGATTTCTATGAATTATCAGGATAAAGTGAGAGACAAGAGGCCCTCCACTGACTTTGTAAATACACATGTATGCTGGACGGTGTAGTTTGTCCCAGTTGGAACTCCTTGCTGCTTTTGTTCTCCCTCTCCTCCTGTATTTACTGTCAATACACAGACTTTATATTATACATAGATGGAAATGTGTTATTGTGGGTTTATGAAACATGATATATACTGTATTTATGGTCTGGACAGACCATTTATGATGCCACCTTTACCCAGACTGTTCTTTTTCCTCTCATTTATTTTTCCTAGTCCTACCCATCACTTCTTCCTTCCTTCCCTTCACATGACTTATATTCTAAATGGATGTGTCCCCAAACTGTAACTCTTTTCTGGGTTAAAATCACTGAGAAAGATCACGACTCTAAAACTCAGACAACATGATTAGTTGTAGTCGGAGCTCTGTAAAGCAAGATGACCAATATCAGTCGTTTATATCCTTACATCAATATATCCTCTATCACGCATACACACACAGAACTGTGCCTCTCACCTGCAACCCTTTCCCTTCTTAACATGGAATCAAACCTGTACTCACCAAGCTGTGCTAAATGTACACATGTGGGATCAATAAACTATTACTGACGGCACCACCCTGATGATTTTGTTGATCTGTAACATTTTGGCTTATTTACATTCTGTTGGACTGAAACAGGAATCAGAGGAACAAGTTGTTAGTCATAATAGTTGTGTGATAAGGTAATGACTGGAATAATTGGTTCTGTTTTAATTAACTGAGCAGCACAGACAAATCTGTTGATTGCCTTCATAATAATGCTATTAGTGGAGGATTTCACCATGGTTAAGGTCACTAGCAGCAATTAGCATGTAGGCTAGATAGGAGCTCATGCAGGCAATTAGTGGAACCTCTAGATTTCATGGACAGAAGATGGTAACTGAGTATTATTGGTTCGTGTCTGCAGCAATCCTGCTGCACAGCTCATTCCCAATTAGCTCAACTAAACAATGACAGAATTAAAGTTTTAATTATCCATTAATATTCATTACAAGCAACTTAAAGTAATAGTGAGGATGACTATTTTGTAATGGTATCTTTCCTGAAAGGGTAATGAATGAGCAAGAGAGATAAAAGTGTCTGTCAAACGCTGTGTGTGTGTGTGTGTGTGTGTTGGCTTTTATTTTTTTTAATTTGGGTCCAAATCACAACATAATTTTTCATAAACTTCGGCCTCCACATTAATTATTAGAACAGCTTGGTTTGTTTATGTACTGTAAAACTATGACATCTCACATATACATATACAATTAAATATTCAGTTAAAGTGGCTGTCCCTACAATTTCTGCATCTGTGTAGCCTTTACATTTATATTTCAGTACTTATTATCAGTGTGTCTGCAGTTAGAACTGTGTCTCTTTAAAAAGCAGGGAAAAAAGTATTCACTTGATTTATGGTGTTTTCACAGACAAGATACCTTCCACCTGTTCTGGCTGTCAGCTTCTTCTTCCAGCAATTCCTCCAAGAATTTGAGGAGAGTGAGAGATGGTCCAAGCCCACGCAGTCATGATATATCTTCCTGCCAACACAGCACACATAGAGCAACTGACTGTTTCAGCATGATCCAAAGCCACAGTGTTTATCAACCGGAGGTGCTCCAGTTAGATGGTGCAAGATCTCATCTATGCATTAAGACAGAATAACAAGTCAACTTTTAGATTTGAAACGATGGTATAAACTCCTGACATTTACAGTCCTAAATGATAAGTGACAACCAATAAATGTGATGAGCCCACAGAGCAGATTAATGATGTGTTTCCTCCTTCCCACAACCTGTCCTGACCTGCAGTAATGAGCTGCAGTCAGCTGTGTCAGTCTCTGTTAAAGGCTATCTAGTTTACAAATTCAGACACATACACACACACACACACATTTTAAAGGAGAAAATAAATACAAGTTACATACAAAGTTTTTAAAAGTGGACTTAGAAGTAGCTAAAAATTTATTTTTTAATATAACACTAAGTATTACGTTAAATTCAACAATACTATCATTCGTAAGAAGGCCATCAGTCAGACACTAGTAATAGTCATGTACAGAGCTGTAAACTGGAGACTTGAACTCGAGTCAGACTTAAGTCAAGACTCAGACTCTACAGCCATGCTACAGGCTATGGTGGACTAGTTAAATACTGAGAGAATGCTAACAGGCTGATGTTTAACAGGTAAAATGTTTCCAATGCTCACCATCTTTGTTTAGTGTGCTAGTATGAATACATTTCTAGGTACCACTATAAGCACTAAATATAGTAATCCATCTGATAGTAGAGACATTTCAGTCTGGACCAAAGTGGTGGACTGATCAACAGACTGACATTATCATCACTAAAGCTATTTAGCTTGCAAAAAAAAATCAGTATTAACACAGCTTTAGAGGGAAAATGTGCATGTTTCATTTTTTTTTCATAAAATGGCTTGCAGCTTTAACTGAGATTTACCAACAAAGACTTGTGACTCAACTTAAACTTGCTTACTCATTTCATATTCATATCAACAGTTCTGGTCGTGAAAAAGCGTTCAAGACGGATTGAAATCTGATCAACCCACCTGAAAACAGTATTACCTGATGCTAGATCCTGATACGTCTTAATAATATCCCATGACTGAATAAATAAAACTGTCACAAGCAAATGACACTACTGGGCCCGTTGTTTGTTGTTTTCTCATCCCAATGTTTATATCTTGCATGTATTACACCTACAGTACATAGAGTAAGCACCAACTTATAGTCACATGTGGACAGACACACTAACATCCTGTCTCATCTTTCACCTTCTTTAAAAATATTTCACCCACTTCTTCCTTCCTCTATGCTGTTATACCCCAACAAACACACACACACACACACACATGCTGTTCCCTGGCTGATGCAATTGGAGACAGGTGGGTTTAAGTCTCAAAGGGAGTATGTTCGGGGGTGCTGTCTGTGTCTGTGTGTGTGTGTGTGTATGTGTGTGCACAAATGCATGAGTAAGGTGATGAAGAGGTCACTGTTAGATTTCCTCATTTGGGGAATCATCTGCTCCTGCTGTCTGCTGTGTGCTTAGTAAAAACAGCAACACAGCTGTTTCTGGAGCTTTTGTTTCTGCATATTGACATGAGTTATATTGACACAGGCTTTCTTTTAGTTTGGATATTTAATTATCAAGCATGGCTGCACTGCAAATGCTCTCAGTGCTGTTTGCTTGTCTCATAATTTCTTATAAAATTGAATTGTGCACACAAGCCCAGCACAAATATTTTCTCAAATGTATCATAGTGAGTATTCTGTACAGTACATGCATGCCTTTTGTCGGCATTGTGCACTCTGTTCGTCTTCGAGTTTGTTGTCTGCTTATTGTCATGTCTGTATCACAT